CTCCAGGCATGTGAAGGGGCAATCCGCCCGGAAGTCAAACAGAGATGTTCAGCGGCATGGGTGGCTTTTCGAGAGGGCCGCGCGCGTATCTTTCGCTGTCGACGTATCTCAGTTGGCCGACGGGGCAGCTTGCTCCAAACCCTTGTGCTCAGCAAGCTTCTTTTCGGGGTTGGCGCCTGGCCCCCGCTCGCCATAGGGGAACAGAAGACTTTTGCGGGCACTGTCTTCGCCCTTTACCGTGCAACCCTTGGCATCGGGGCTAGGGAGGACCAGCATGTGTCCTTGGCGACTGCTTGTTCCTTGTTGGGGTTGTTGGACCACGAGTCGCTGATGCAAGTCGAAAGGCTCCGGTACCTTTTGCAACTTTGCACCACAGCACCGGATGCTGTTTGGGCGCTCTTACGCCAGGATGAGCCATATCTTGACCTGCTCCGGAGAGCCCTGAACTGGCTTTATCATCGTGTGCGTGATACGAGTGCGCTTCCCGACCCGTTGGAACTCTGGCAACCCTGGAATGATCTTATCACGGGCCGCCCGTCCCTGTTTAAGGGCCTGATCAAACGGGCCAAGGGGTTGGAACAGTGTAGGATCACCTGCATTGCTGCTCTTCAGGCCCTGCAAGCTGCCATCACCCAGCAGGGGCAAGGGATGCCTTTGCAGGACCACCGTAATGCCCTGCACTTTACTGAGGCCTGCATTGTGTGTAAGAGGGCTTTCACAAGTCGAGCTGCCTGGGCTTGCCACGCATCTAAGCTCCATGGATACCGCATAGCAGCGTCAGTTTTGGCAGGGACTGATGGGAGTACGCTGTGCCTAGCATGTGGCAAAAATTTTGCCAAGCCTGCGCGGCTACGTCGGCACCTTTTGCATTCCGAGGCTTGCCGCCGGGGATGGGGATCCTTCGTACCCGCTGACGCCCCACAGCATACTCCGCATGTCAGAGCCCCACCCCTCACTGTCGAGGGCGTCTTAAGTGAGAGCTTTGCCGCGTTGGACCCGGCCTCTTATAATAAAGGCCTTCTCGAGGCGTTGGAACGTATGCAGGCCCCCACTGCTGATCAAGTCTGGGAACATGTGGCTGAGTATATAGAGCCCTTAGCCGTCCTCAGGCAGACGGTTAAGCTGTGGGTTGAACGTTCCGGGTCCGACTCAGGGGTTGCCGAGGTCGCCGAGGAAGTAGCCCTGATGCTGGATCCTGATCTTATTTGCGACACCTTTTGTCGCCGTCGAGCGACCACCCCTGTCGCTACTTGTTGTCCAGATCTCCCGGGGGTCTTGGATTTTCAACTCCCCTTTGTCCTTTCCGGGGACCGGGCCACTTTTGTCATTGAGGTCGCTCCATGCCCGTCCTACTGTTACCCCTTCATCGGGGGGGCACCCCTTGCCGCTGCGCAGCGTCAAACTGCCTTTCTGGTAGGGGCTTGCGACATAGTTGGGCAACTCTTGAAGCAGTCCTCTCGATCCCGAGTCTTTCTGCGAGTGCCGCGTACAGCATTGGCCTCCCTTGAGCCGCTACCCACCTGGTTGTCTTCTGTGGGGTTTCTGCACTCGGAGGCGGGCTTCAGCAGTCCGGAGGATTAGCTGCTCGCTGCTCGGGCTTTTCCAGAATTCATCTCTTTGTACAGCTGCATTAGGCGCGACCGACCGGTCCCTCAGCCTGCCGAATGGAAATGGTATGTGTATGTGTGTGTATATATATATACATATGTACAACCGCCAAAACCACCCACAAGAAGCCCAGCAAGCCGCAGTGCTTCATGTTGAGGCCTGCAGCGAGACCTGCGAAGGATTCATAAATCCGCGCAGCGGGAAGAAGAACCCTGCAAAACGTGTCTATAGAACCCCATAGCTGCAGCATCCAAGAAGAAGCCAGTTGAAAATCCCGAACTCGGCATGCGAGATTCGAAGCCCTAAGCTTCCTAAGCCCAAAAGCTCGAAGCCCAAAGCCATAAAGCGTTAAACCCTAGATCCTAAATCCTGAAACCCTGAAGCCCCAACGCCGAATCCCTAAAGCTCTCAGCAGTATAGATATACTGTTGGGGCCCAAACCTCTACTAGCAGCTTACGATAATGTTACTTGGACCCTTTGGGATTCTAAAAACCCTAAACCCTGAACCAACATAGCTGATATCTGGCGAGAAGAAAACAGAAAGACAAGACGAAACCCTGAACCCTAAACCCTAAACCCTAAACCCTAAACCCTAAACCCTAAACCCTAAACCCTAAACCCTAAAACCCTAAACCCTAAACCCAGGCGGCTTCCGGAGCTGCGTCGGGAGATCCACAGTTGGCTGCGGAGTCGCCCAAAGCGTGGGGAAAAGGCATCTTTAGGGAGCCTAATGTAGGAGCCTTAAGAATAGGGTTTAGGGTTTAGGGTTTAGGGTCCTTAGAATGTATAACAATTTAGAATATGGTTTTTGGGCCCATTATACTATAATTCTAATAAAGAACCCCCCAAAATAGTATTGGTAATTAGTTAGGGCGGGTTTAAGATTTAAGATTTGGGTTTAGGGTCAGGGTTTCTTCATCATAGTGTCTAAGGGATTTTCTACAGCGATTTTATGCCATGGTTGTATGACGTATTTAACGGTTTTCAGAGATATGGTTGAGGGCAGTTTAGAGCTTCAATGCTTCAATGCTTCTATGGGTTTAGTGCTTAGGGCTCCACACCAGTCCCTTGTGGTAATTGCTACTTCAAAGGGTGAGCTAGCACAAGACAGCCCTGCTCCCTCAGTCAGAGCTCTAACTAATGTTCGGAGCCAAACCCCAAACCTCACACCCGAAACCCTAAACCCTAAACCCGAAGGCCGTTGCACCTTAAAACAAAAAACGGAAATACATGACCCTTGAAGACGTTCTTGCTTAAAACAGGGCTCTGCTGTGCAGGCTACAGCCATGCAAAACCTCCTCCTCCTTTAACGCCCAGGAGTGCTAACAACAGAAGCCCCTGAGATCTACGGCTTATAGGATAGTTTAAGGGTTTGGAGTTTAGGATTTTCTAGTGGGTTTAGGGCGCAAGGGGCTAGGTCATCACTGCATCACGGCTTCAGTTCCTTATTCAGGGCACGTATCACCCCTCGAGTCTTTAACTTCAGTCCTATGTCGCGTGAGCCTTTGAGTACTTCGCTAAGGCTGAGGCCATGAAGCTCTGCCTGGCAGCGCCGCAGGCGGCAATTGGCTGATTCCATACTTGGAGGGTCGGGAGACTTAGTAAGTAGGCTGTAAGTAGACTTATAAGTACCCTAAAAGGAACCCTAAATTAACCCCAATTAGTAATTGGGGTTATCGAACTTATAAGTCTATAAAATAACCATTTGCTAAGTCCCCCGACCCTCCAAGCAGTCTCTTTGGGGAAGCGCCAGTCATGTGTGCAGAGGCCCTGGACCAAATAACCTAAGCAGTTCCCTACAATATCCCTGAATATCCCCTAGGTCCTTGCGTATGGGTCGTACTGACTATAGGGTTTAGGGTTGAGGGTTTAGGGTTTAGGGTTTAGGGTTTCAACATTCCCTAAGGCTCTGTTCTGACTATTGAGGCCCCTATTGAGAGATGCCCCCGTGATTCTTATGACGGCGACTGTCTTCTCTGGCATTTGCAGCTACCCCAGTTCAGGTACCGAAAGCTAATTGAGGTTCCAACCAATTGTTTCTCCACCCTGCTACTTTCTCTAAGCCTTGTAGCGAAAGCCCATACTCCTCGTAACTACCCATAGCTGAATGAAGGTACTTGCTTTAAGCCAATTAGCACAGGCCTATCATCCTTATAACTATTTGCTTATCGCTCAAGCAAGGTACTTCTAACCATGCGTCTGTGCATCAATTTTAAAGTGCAGAAAAGCCTCCCCGACCGACACCGCGTTGCGCTTGCTCTGAACGGGTTTAGGGGTTTTAAGGATTGGGTTTAGGATCTAGGGCTTAGGAGGGTTTTTAGGGCCATTTTAGGGTTTAGGCGGACACAAGGGGCACTTCCTCAATTTGGCCTCCCTGGATTTGGGATGTGCTCGTCATGGGCAACGTGTTGAGTTGTGGTGTAGTGTCCGTGTGCGTGACTGTTTCTGTGCGTGTGTGTGTGTGTGTGCGCGCTTGTGCATGTGTGGCTTGGACTTCAAAATCTTCAAAATCCTAATGATCCAAACACGCCTTCAAGACCCACAACCCTAACACCAGCCCGCTGCTTTACATTGCCTTATAAGCCCCCAATCGACTAAACTGTGTAGGGAGTTTCTACTCAGAGACGACCTTATAATGCAGATACTTTGAGCCATATTGCGCATAATGCTGCCCGAATCCAGGGCTGCTGAGTTTCTGGTAAGGTGGAAGGTGGTAGGGTTTAAGGCTTTGGGTTTAGGGGTGGCCTTCTGTAGCGGGTTCTCAGGATCCAGGGGCTCATTTTGGATCACATAGGGTTTTTTCAACAAGCGGCCCCCCAAGTTAGGGTTTAGGGTTTAGGGTTTAGGGTTTAGGCTTTTAAGGTTTAGGGTTTAGGGTTCAGGAAGATGATGGCATACACCCAAACCTCATCCGCCGATGCCCTCTAAAGGCACGTCTTATGGGGGTGCAGGTAGGGGTTAAGAGTCCAGGGGATCGGCTTCGGTTTCCGGGGTTTGGGGCCACACAGTTACTCTGAGCAAGCGTTTAGGGTTTAGGGTTTAGGGTTTAGGGTTAGAGCTTAGGGTTTAGGGTTAGAGTTTAGGGTTTAGGGTTTAGGGTTTAGGGTTTAGGGTTTTAGGGTTTAGGTTTTAGGGACATGAGCAATGTAGCCAACAAGAGCCGACATAATTTTGCAGAATCCGCACGTCCTGAACCCCGAGTTCCATCTTCTGCAGAACCCGAAAAGGTGCCTCATAAGAACTTGCTTAGATTTTGATATCCCTTAGTTGAAAGGTACCTCATAAGAACTTACTTAGAATTCGATATCCCTTAGTTGGGTGTCCCCTATGAAAGATCCCTAAAGATTAAACCCGAAAACCCACGAGTGTTTGAGAGCCTCAACCCCGCCAGCACCGGCGCTGGCCAACATCGACAAGTCGAGGCGCAACAAAGTCTGCATGGGCTCTCAGGGTTTAGAAATCACTATCTAGGGTATAGAATCAGGGTGTAGGATTTAGGGCTTAATATGGCGGCCCAAAGAATTACCAATACTATGTTGGGGGTTCCTTATTATAATCATAGTACCCCAAAGCCCTATCCTAATTATTAAGGCCCCTACATAAGGGGGTTTTGGCTTGAGTGCTGAGGGCCGGGTCGGCGTGGGTCCAGCTCCCTTAAACCCCTAAACCCCTAAACCCCTAAACCCCTAAACCCCTGAACCCTAAGCCCTACACCCTAAACCCTGAACCCCGAAACTTGTCGTTTCAGGTTCATGGGGCATTTTTGGTGTTTGGGTGGGCCTTTAGGGTTCTCTACAGGGCCTTTAGGGCCACGACCTGCGAGGCGCAGCCGCTCCCGCAAGAGACTGGCCTGCATCGATGATTTAGGTTTAGGGTTTAGGGTTTAGGGTTTAGGGTTTAGGGTTTAGGGTTCAGGGTTGTAGTCTTTACGGCTTTAAGCCTTAAGCCCTCAACCCTAAAAGCCCGAAGGACTTTATAAGGGTTCGGCTCGGCAAGCGTCGTACAAGGTTTCGTTACTAAAAACTGAGCCTAAACCCGAATCTTTGGAGGGTTTAGGATTTAGGGTTCAGCTAAACCCTAAACCCTAAACCTAAACCCCCTAAACCCTACACCCTTAAACCCCTAAACCCCTAAACCCCTAAACCCTAAACCCTAAACCCTTAAACCCTAAACCCTAAACCCAAAGCCCTAAACCCAAGTTCAGGCCGAGTCTCGATGAAAAGGGGCCCACGATTTAGGGTTTAGGGGTTTAGGGTTTAGGGGTCTAGGGGTCTAGGGTTTAGGGGTTTAGGGTTTAGGGGTTGAGGGTTTAGAGCTCTGGGTTCAGGTTTTAGGGTTTAGGGGTTTTAGGGTTTAGGGTTTAGGGTTTTAGGGTTTAGGGGTTTTTGGGTTTAGGGGTTCAGGGTTCAGAGTTTAGGGTTTAGGGTTTAGGGGTTTAGGGTTTAGGGTCTAGGGTACCCCAAAGGCATTCGGAGTTCGGGCCCTTAGCCCCAAACTCTGGACCCTCTACTTGGAGGTTTCTGGGTTTAGGGTTTAGGGTTTCGGGGTTTCGGGGTTTAGGGTTTAGGGTTTAGGCTAGATATAAGTGGGGTTATAAGTCCCCTAAGTAGGGTTATAAGTATAGTTGCCCTACTTATCACCCTACTTGTATCTACCCATGAACCTCCAAGTAAGCGTCTTGCAACCCGAAACCCTAAACTTTAAACCCTAAAGGAAGGCATTCTTTTTTGAATTCCCTCTTATCATAGGAGACCCTAGGGCCCTCCTCAAGATCGTGGCAAAGGCTCTTTGGAAGTTGCTTCATCACGCAGGGTTTAACCCTAATCTAGGACATTTTCAGGTGGGTAGTTGCCGTTATAGGAGCCTTATAGAAGGTCTATATGCCTTATAGAAGCCTTATAAAAGCCTTATATACCTCAAACTCCCCACCTGTAGTTTCCTTTAACCTAAACGCTAAATCCTAACGGTTTAGGGATGAGATGCTGCTATACTTTCAAGGGTCTGCGGAGGCCATCGTTTGTCTTGAGAAGCGCCACGCAGGATTTTCCGGGCGGCTCTGGGCTCGGTTCGGAAGTGGGGCCGTCTGTGTTTCTGCTTTCCATGGTGTGACCCAAGAGAGACATGTGCCATGCCCCATGGCCCATGGCCATGGGGTGATGTGATTAGGGCTTCGGGTTTAGGGTTTAGGGTTTAAGGTTTAACCCAACCCCAGAGTCCCTTTTCCTGGCACGCTATGAACAGGAATTACACTGCTAAGACCATCTTTTGAATCCAGTACAGAGCCCACCCTAAACCCTAAACCTTAAACCCTACACCCTAAACCCTAAACCCTTTACCCAAACCCTAAACCCAGGAAGCCAACGTAAAACCCGTCGCCAAGCAATCGGCGGCTTTCGCAATGCTCGGGTGGAGCGACTTGGTGGTTCGACGTGCCTTGCAGGACAAGGACGTGCGCGTGGACGTTGCTGAATCTGCCGTAGATGTAGGGGCCTTAGGGTTTAGGGTTTAGGGTTTAGGGTTTAGGGTTTAGGGTTTAGGGAATTACCTATACCTTTTTCGGGGTTCCTTACTATAGTTATAGTATTGTTTTACCCCAAAACCCTATTCTACTTATTAAGGCCCCTACATTACATATCTGCGGCGCCGCCATGCATGTGCGAGAAGCTGCGCCACTCGGCCAAGAAGGGGCCCAGAGGCTCCAAAGGAGAGTATCCTCTGAGCTGCTTCGGGTTTAGGCCTTTAGGGTTCAGGGTTTAGGGGTGTAGAATCTAGGATTTTAGGTTTTGGGTTAAGGGGTCTAGAATCCAGGATTTTAGGGTCTAGGGTTTAGTGTTTAGGGGTCTAGAATCTAGGATTTTAGGGTTTTGGGGTCTTCCGGTTAAGGGATTAGGAAAGGGTTTAGGGCGTTTGCGGCACATCCTCAAGCGGAAAGCAATAGCAACAAGATCAGCGATCATAGTAGGAGCTATCGGAGTACGCGTAGCAGCAACCCCCGTTCTTAAGGGGGAGGCGTGGCTTGAAGTCTCACAACATCTCAGGAAGAATCATACGATTACGAAGACTCCAAACCCGCAGCCCCAAACCCTAAACCCTAAACCCTAATCCCTAAACCCTAAACCCTAAAGCCCAAGCTCCCGAAGCCGAAAGGCAAAAAGCCTACCGCCCAAAGCACCGAAGCCGAAAGCCGAACTCCCAAAGCATAACACCTGAGGCCTGCAACCCTGAACCCCAAAGCTTAAGGGTTCAGGGTTTAGGGGTTTAGGGTTTAGGGTTTCCCTAAAACATGCAAAAACGCAGTAAAGAGATTTGACATGCTGGAAACCTTATAGGCCCTAAAACCAAAACCCTTAACCCTCTTAGGCCCTAAATTTTTCCGGGTGCTGGTTTTTAGCACGGCCGTTCGCCCAGGAAGAAGAAGCGCAGCCGATCGCGCAAGCGCAGGAGGAAGAGCAGGTGCACTCTAAACCCTTGCCCGGGTTTAGGGCTTCCTAAACCCCAAACCCTAAACCCTAGACCCTGAACCCTAAACCTAAACCCTAAACCCTTGCCCGGGTTTAGGGATGTTTAGGGCTTATACAGGGTTTCGCGCCCGAGTCCGAACCCTGTAGTGCACCCGTGCACTTGTGTTTATTCTCGGGGCTTCCGTATCAAACCCTATAGGGTTTAGGGTTTAGGGTTTACAGAACCTTTTCCATGATGGAGTCGGAAAGGATAGAAGTAGCTTCATGTGTAAAGAGATCCGGGTTCAGGGTTTAGTTTTTTTTGGTTTAGGGTTTTTGGGTTTAGAGCTTCGGGTTTAGGTTTTAGGGTTAGGGGTTTTAGGGTTTAGGGTTTGGGGTGTAGGGTTTTAGGGTTTAGGGGTTTTTGGGTTTAGGGCTTAGGGCTTCGAGGGTTTAGGGTATCAACCCTCTACAAAACCCAACAGAAGCCTTCAAACATCCTTAAAACATCCTTAAAGAACCCGTAAACCGGAAGGACAACCCTTAAAACACTCTCTTACACGACAATATCGTAATCCCCAAAGTCTATTCCGCTAAACCTAAGTCCTAAACCCTAACCCTTGTAGTACCCTTTGTAGATCCCTTCAAGGAACCCTAAGAACAGATCCCTCGAAGGTCCCGAAACCACCCATAACACCTTCATATAAGACACAAAAGCACGCACAAAAACCCCCTAAACGCTCTGAAGACGCCTGAATCCACAGACCCATACAGACCCTAAGCCCTGAACGCCTACCCTTATAGATGCCCTAAGCCCCCTATAGAAACACGTATAGGACACTCATAAAGACCTTAAAACCGATACAGAATCCTTTACTACAGAAACCCCTAAACCCTAAACC